CCAGAATCGGCAGGAAGAGAAAATGAGAGGGAAAAGCGCCTACTGCGAGTGGAAGCTCCTGATACAACTTTGTAAATAGAAGACCAAGCTCAAGTAATGCTTGATGGAAATTATCATCATCATCATCATTTTGGAGGACTTGGAGCCAAATACTCAAATAAGTAAATCAACCATCCATTTTTCTAGGTATGTGCTTCCAAGCACAACTTTACGTGTGTTCATTGAGAAGAGCCTGCCTCCGTTTGTTTATGGTCTCCCATTTAGGTATTCATACACATTGATATGCTCTGGTGGATGATCTTACCAAGATGATGTCTTCGAAACTTAGAAAGCCAGAGGGATGACCGTGTCTACCTCATGGTCAACACAACAGGGCTGTAAATACCACTGTGATCTGGTAGGTACAGTCTATGAGAGTTTGGCGTTTCATACACCTGTGGAAACCAGAAAGGGTTAAAAATAGACACTACTTTTGGGTGGGGAAATGCTGGATCTCCTGTGATAGCTTGTAATAGTCCAGATATCCAGAAAATTTCCCTAAAGCATTTGGAGATTTGGCCATTCAGGGCATGTTGACAGACTCTCAGGCAGCTCCCGAGATGAGACTGTGTGGCTCAGAGACCGGGTGACATGACAGTAACATACAGGTTACCAGAGCCAGAATCCGCACGTTCTGTGAGGAACAACTCCCCGCTTGATGGAGGGAGCAAGTAACAGCAGCAGTCTGTGCTGAATTGGGGACAACACCTACTCTGAACGTGGACAGTCCTTGTGGGAAAAGCAGTTTAAAATCTTGTTACAAAAGCACAGCCTGATAAACTGTGAGTGCATCCCCTGGAAGCATCAGAGATGAATCGTGGCACAGAGTCAGAGCTCCTTCTCCCCAAACCCTTTTATGTTAGAGGCTAAGCTCACACAGAGGAAAGCAAGAAGGTAATGCAGAAGATGCAACATGCAGGCATGGATGGATACAGCAAAGAGGGCCTTGAAGAATAGCCAGGAAGCAACGTACTGTGGCCGAAGGTTGAGAAAAGGGGGTGGGAAAGGGCGCTAAGGAATGGTAGAGAGACATTGTGGTTGCATCCACTCCCAGGGTCTGCAGAGCAGCTTCCTTGTCCATGTCCCAGCCTGAATCCTGTCCTGGTGTAACAGCATGAGGAAGGATGAACAATGATTGCTGCTACCACCACCCAGAATAATTCATCCAAACTACAGATGGCTCTCTCCTTTCCTGGGAACACTCAAGGGTGAAAGCAGCCAAGAGGTGATGGCATGAATTACTTGGGCAGTGACCACGTCTCCTCATTTTGCAGTAAGTGGAGAAGAGCTTACCTGCAGGCAGCGGGAGCAGTGCAGTGTCCATGCAGGGCACCTGCACACGCTCTGGAGACAGCACGTGTGCCTCCTGAGTGGAGAAGACTGATGGCTCCAAGCTCTGCCACGAGCCTAAGCCCACCATGGGCTCAATGCTGGTTTGGGGGCAGCATTGAGACGGATGATGCAGAGGCACCTGAATACATAGCAGAGCAAATGGTATTTTGAATTTTCCCTTGTGCCGCGGGGAAAAATATTGTGAGCTTTCCTTGGGGTAGGGTGTGCCAGACTATGTGCCTGCCACCCAGCCAGACACTGGCTGTTGCAACTATGCCATGCCAAGGTAAGAAATCAGATTACGGCCCATGAAGTTTCTAGAGCATGCGGTTATGACCCACCTGCTTTACAGCAATTGGACCTAACACCAAAGCAACTCAGCCATAACCACCTCTTGCTTCTTCAAGAAGCTTTGGTGCATCAGGGGCAACATATATCAGTCTTCGCTTCCAGGGCAATGAGACAAGAATAAACCGCCCAAACTTAAGGAGCAAAACGTGTATTTCTTGTTCTGGAGCACGCCCGCCTTGCAGCGTTATGAACACACATCTGAGCTCTTGTGGCTGTTGAAATAACAGTCTTGTCGTGGGAGGAGGACGCTCAGTGTATGCAAAGTTACTTGGTCATGCTTCTTACCTCAGCTGACACGTTGCTGAGACTACACTGCTGCCAGCATGACTTCAAAAAGTTACAAATTAGCTCGGATAACCTCTGTGCTCCCACTGACAAGGAGAGGTGCCTCCTGAGGGCTGTCCCTCCTCACCAAGTAACACAGGACTCAACTGCGCTGCCCATCGGTGCTGCCCATGGACATCTCAGCTCTGCTGACCATGGATCTAGCTGCCTAGTTGGTGACAAATCCACCAGGTTCAAAGTTGAACAGCTTCTTAGAATCATAGAATCATTTCTTGCCAAAGCAAACGGGGTCACCACAAGTCCTGACTCTTCCTCCTGTTGGCTCACAACACCCAGCCATTGCACAGGTAAAAGTTTGTCATGACTTTTGCTAGGCAGAAACAGAGAAGATGCTCTGTTGCAGGTCAGAAAGGTCTTTCCATCAGGTTAGCAGGAGGACTTCTTCCAGGGCAATGGTACTATGACTGCACACTGCCTGTTGTGGGCAGCAACTCCAGTAACTCTTCATGTGCAGTTTGTGTCAAGCACCTGTGAGTGACACCAAGGCTCCGAGGAACGTGTGCACATCATCTTCAGGCACGTGTGATGCCAGCTGAGTTCGGGTGCAATGCGGCTCCTACTGATTACCGGAGTAAGTGTGGCTGCTGCTTCGGCTTTCGTAGGCTGAGCAAGGGGGAGGTTATCTGAACTGGAACACGCCTGAAACGACCTTTTGCTGTAGTCCCACTCTTTACAAGCAGCTGCAAGTGCCAAAAGCTTGCTCATTTCCTTTCAGACTGGGGAAAATAAGGACAGGAACTTGCCTTGAGTGAGAGATGTTCCTACTCTGAATTTGAAGTATTCTATTGAGTCAGATTCATGATAGCAGTCATCCTGTGGGTCACCACAGGGACTTGGTGCTAAGGAATCTCTGATGGGAGCTGTGGGACTGGCCACCTTCAGGTAGAAACAGATCACAGAGTGTGAAGTCAAAGGGAGAAACTGGGTCACTCACCCTCTTTGGTCCCTCATGTGGCAAGACTACAAGAATAAGAAATTTTGGATGCACCCTCCTGACCCAGGCTGTGCAGCTGGGAAGGGAGAGGCTGTCAGCCACCGCCTCTGCTTCTGTACCAGGACTTCCAAGTTCCACTCTGGAGGAAGTCAGGTCTTGTTTGCTGCCTTCCAGGAACCAAGGCAAATGGATCCAGAGAATGTCAGGCTTACAACTCTTCAAGGAATAGAAGCTGCTGTTGGGTCTTTGAGGTTTAGGAGTATTTTGTTATTATTTGAGCTTCCCTCTGACTGTTTGAGCTCTTTGTCAGAAATTTAAGCAGAGGAAGGCTTCAAGGGACATATCAAATGCTGCTGTACAGAAGGACTTTGCTAATTACTATTTAACACCTGACTATTCCCAACCTGTTCCTGCACTGAGATACAATTCCTTGGGCTGAGACCAGCTACGCTATGACTAATGCTCGGTTATCAGCTTTGCACGCCTGCAGCCTGGCTGGCAAGTAGACTTCACAGTCCAGCTTCTTTAGTTTGGGCTATTTCCTTGAGTGCTGATTTGGGACTTGATTTCGCTGCACAAACCGACCTATTACTGCTAAGAAATATAATAACGGAGCACACATACAAGCAAACTAGGATCCACATGGATGACTTCTTACACAAGCAAATTTCCTGTGTATGGCAAGTGTTTTGTGATCCTGAATCTCTTCAGATCTTTAGAGGAGACAGTTCAGCTGCGATAGCCCTATCAGGTAACTTGAAACTCAAGAGCCATCTGATGTTGAGCTTGGTCCAGCAGCATGTGCTAAGTAGCTAATGGCTGGAAGTACATTTTAAACAAGGATTTGTTATTTATCAGTTCTAGAACTTAAAGGTTTGTCAGCACACGCAGAAAAGATTTGTAATGCATATTATTCTTCCTGTTTAAGATTGCTCTAGAAAACATTATTATTTTGTCTAAAACAATTACTCAGATTTAATTTTGTTGAGTGGTAGAGGCTTAATTTAGTACGTTACAAACTAGGTTCTCAGAACAGCCTTCCTGTCTTACTGTTATGAAAGCTGTGCAGTCCAGGCAGCAGAGGACACAAAGAAAGAGAAATAAATGTATGTCCGCTAAGAAACAAAGCCACATTTTATGAAAATGGGAACTTAAAGATGACGAGGACTTAGCTCTAACTATGTAACTGAATGTGAAACCTCAGCACCTTTAAATCCTATGCTGGATAAAAGCCGTAAAGACTGTATTTTATCAGGCTTCCTTTTATTCTTTATCACACATTAACAAGTGAAAAACTCCAAGCATCAGTTTTGTTATTACAATGAGAGAATCCCCATTCTTATGTAAAATACTTAAAAACTCATATATGGCTGAGTACAAAACCCCCACCTCTTTCTTTGGAATAATGTGCCTTCAATTCCACAGTTTTATACTGATTACTCTAACAGATCTTATTTTTAAAGCATCAGAAGTACTAGCAATGCATAAATTACGTATCTATAAAAATTATGCCTGTACTTCCCTGTATTTGTTATAAAGGCTGACGGTTCCAACTACTTGCTATGACGAGCGAGACTGCTGTAATGACCCCTGGCCTTAGGGGATACTGTTCTCACAGAAAGATGTCCATCGCCGAGGCAACTCTGAACTGTACCATGGGTGCTCTCAGGACTTTAGCGAGGGAGTAGCAGGGGGCAGGCAGAAAAATTCTGTACGTAGCCTTGTCCAGGGCAAGTTCTGAAAAGAAACCAGTGGGACACCAGTAGACATTTTGTAGTTTGTATGCTGTGGTTTTGATCAGCCAATTATGCCCAGCATAGTTTGCTGCATGAAAGTACCGATTTTCTTTGACCATATTGGTAATCAACATATGGAAGTAACTCAAGTATCCTTTTAAAGAAAACAGAAGAAAGAACTCCACATAACTCTGCTTGTAGAAAGACAACTGAAAACCCTGCTCTGAGCGTGGCACTGAACCTCCAGAAACCCCTTCTAACCTAAATTATTCTATGCTGATTCCTTGAGTAACTTGACATTTGAACTGATTAAAAGCAGCCCAAAAAAGAAAAAAAAAAGAAACCAAACCCAAACCCCAACAACTATTTGCTTTACAAAAATCAGAGCTTTTGGAAACAATTCTGAATATCTGCAAAATTTGTCAAGTCCAGATTTCAAATCATTGTTAGAGGCACAACCACTAGGTACCAGAGCTCATTTTGAAAAGAGTTCCTTTTTTAGGTAGCACCTAAAAACTTCTTTCGAAAACATTTTAAAATTGGTTTAAACCAAAATACTGTAACTTTTGCACGAGGGAAGTATTTGACCAGAGCACTAAGAAGAAACTGCATTACAGTCAGCAAATCCATCTTGTGAAGTTATTTCAGTTTTAGAAATCAAAACCCTGATGGATGTGTAATTAAATGCTTTTAAAAATCTCCCAGTCTCCCTCTGTCAAAAGCATTTCAAAGCCTTCACGTCAAAGCATCGCAGATTGCTTTAGAGAGTGAGTTGCATATACTGCTTTGTGAAGAGAGTCTGATTTTCTCTGTTACAGAGGAAAAATAACTCTAACACCAGTGAAACACTTGATACGAGAGACTTAGTCATTGTTTAACAGCACACAACCGCGCCCCATCCATTTTAGGAGAGCAAGTAATCCTTAACTAATGTCAACAGTATCCAGCTCCTCTACAACGCATCAAGGGATTTCAAAACAATTTCCAGAAGAGAAACGGGCAACGAAGCACAGGGAAACAAAGTGAACTGTTCACTGTCGCTCTGCAGATCGACCCCCTTCTTCCCATACAACTTTACAAGATAAAGCACTTCACCTAAAAAAACTATCTTTTAAACTATGTAACTGTCTGCATTACAACTTCTTTGCTCAATACAATATTACTATGAACATCCAAGACCATGCACAGATATAGCAAGTAGTTTTCTGTGAAAGAAAATTTTAAAAAAATTAAAAAAAGACCGCCACATGACACCTAGAAGCGTTTATTTTATGCAACAAACTTAAATATGATCATGTGTACATAAAAGTGTACACTGTATCTATGCTGAACAATGCCAGGAAACATAATATTGATGCAACAATCGTCTAAAATAAACATTAAAAAATGAGCCTGGACAGGAAGACAAAATGCAAAACAGACTTACTTCCAATCAGCACAATGCTTAAAATTGAGAGCAATCCTAAACATTTCCAACTTTCCTTACAAAGCTGCCAAAGTCCAACTATTTTTAAAAATTGATTTTTTTTTCTTTACATCAATAATAAAAATCTGGTGACAAACATTATAAAATCAAATGCTGGACTGTCTTTACTCCTTTAAAATTTAGAATATTCCAACAGAACCGCAGGAGTAAAAACACTTAAAAGTGATATATGTTTTTATAAAACAAACATCAATATGTACATTTATTGCAAATTATATTAAACTAAAATGGAGGGAAAAATTAAAAAATGAAATGTCTACTTGCGAATTAATAATAATTTTAAGTGATTACTTTCCCACTCTGATAAAAATCAGAAAGCAACATTTATAAAATTGCCACCACATGACTTTTCATAGCAGGGAACTAAAATCTGTACATCTTATTTTTGCAGAAAAGTAGGCAGGCAGAAAGAATTATACATAAAACAGTCTCCAAAAGTAAAGCAAAAAAATTTTTTTGTGATTTTTTTTTTCCTCTAGTCTTGTTTAAAATCCATTCAGTAGACTTCTACTTTTTCTGTGAAACTGGGAATACCTGGCTCTAGGATCACGAATTTTCAGTGTCAGTGTAAGGACCTCCTCTGACTTTCTTTAAAAAAAAAAATGCAGCATGAAAATTAATGGTGTAAATACACTTTTAAACTCCAGAATGCAGGAACTGGAACCAAGTGTTAAGCAATTTGCTTAATTATTGACTTTTCATAAAAAAAGTCTCTGGGGAAATAAGTACAGATGCTTTTAGCCTCTTTCTCAAGAGTTTCTGCTTTACATTTCCATTGAGAAGGATTAATTTCACGTGAAAGGGAAGCATAGTTTTCCTTCTGGTTTCAGAGCTGAAAGCTGTGTGTTTTGAAGTAATTTCAGTTCCTGTATAGGAAATTTCTGAATCCTAGTTTTTGCAGAAGCTTGGAGCATGCCTTTATTTGGCCTTCATTTCCTCCCTTTTTGAGCGAGTTTTCTTTTTACCTTTTTGGGGGCAAAAAAAGGAAATAAAAGTTAATTGTGAGGACATGGACAATTACAATTGATTCTGAATCAAAATCCTACCTATATCATTTGCATTTTAGCTTTTACACTCTATACTGTGATTCTTCCAACTCTGCCTTGTATCTTCTCAATTATTACATAATTAATGGAATATAACAGATTTTCCTGATAAACTTGGAAATACACAAGCTGAATAATAATAATTCTGTAACTCAGTAATGTTTTTTTCTGCATAAACAGAAACATTTAACTATAGCTTTCACTGGAATCAGAGAACAAGAATGCTGACTTGTTCTAATTAACTGTACTTAATTACCCAGATTTATAAAAATAGCCCGTCTTACTTAAGAACAAGCACTACTTCAAATGTTTTTAAAATATTTACAGTAACATGTTCACGTCTACTTAAAAGCAAAAAACCCCTATCAGACACAGCTATTTTTACATACGTATTTCTGGAATACGGAAAGATTTCTTTGATTCCCTATTGTAAAAGCTACAATAAGAACACAGAATTGTCCTATATAAGATGCCTGCTACACCTTAAGGAAGCCTCCCTCTGCTATCTCTGTATCCTCAGTATCTTCCTGGCTGCTCCCACAGGCCTTAAAAAGATCCATTGCATTTTGGGAATATTCTGGACTTGAGTCTATCTCCAACAGTGAATCTCCATCACTTCCAAGCACCTGGCTTCTGAAAAACGTTAACAATGTTTTGGTATTTTTTTCAAGAAACACTGAGGTATTACATATTTCAAAGAAGCTACCCGATACAGATGGCTTATTTAAGGCTATGGACAGTGCAGTTTGTTATGAAGACTTAGAGAAATTTCAGGTATAAAACAAGCATTGCAAGGCAGTACACAAATACTACTCTCTTGAAAAACCAACCAATTTACTCGTATATGAACCTTACTGTGAGAGGAAAAATTCATTCTTTTTGATCACGGTTCTCTGCAAGACCTTCATTTTACAAAATCTCTAGAAAGAAACTAGAATAATGATTCTTGCTCCCTTTAGTTTAAATTATGATTTCTTCCAAGACACTGGTCTGCTGATGTTATTTTATTGCTTGATGACTTCAGACACTTTTGCATTAAAATTATTATTGTATCAGATTCAGCTAAACAAACTTCTCCATGTTTATGTGCATTTGTCGTTTCTTTATACTGGAAATCAAATCACCGCATTTGAACACTGGAGTATAAAACAATAAATTAACATTCAAAAGCTGTTTTGTAGTTTACACAGGTCCAAATTCTGCTTTTGTTTTACTTACAATATATATATAAAATTTGTTAATATTAACAGTAAGCACAGACCCAAAATATCAAAGAGTTGCCATTAGAATTACAACTTTTCCTGTTCATTAAAGATGGTCCATTTTCAAGCCTTTGTTATCAGTGAACTGAATCAGAGCATAGCACCTGAATTCCTGTGCACCTGGCATTACTGAATGCACTTGAAATGTCCTCAACTCTTAGTTCTTTTACACAGCAATGCCAGTAAGGGGAACCGGGATGCATGAAAAACAGAACAGAACACAACACAATATATGTTGGACCATGATGTTTATAAAGCACTGTGGTTTAGTTGTGCCCTTGAACGTATGCTAGATCTGTTATAATTCCAATTTCAGGGTCTATCTTGAGACAGGAAAGGCCCACCCCACCCAGGCAAGGTTTGTTTATTTACTTATTTTTACCTTTGTAGATCAATTTGTCTCTGTGCTGCTGCTGGCTTTTTTGCTGTGTCTTGCTGTTTTGGTGCTTTGGCGTTACCTGCCTCCAAACTCCCTGGACTTTCTTGACTGACTGCTGCCCTTTTCCTTCCCCTGACAGGTGGTTTATTTGTTTCCTCATTTTTTGCAGTGGTACCCTGAGGTTCAGGTTTGGGTGGACGCCCTCTCCTGGTTTTTGCTGCGAGTGATGGTCCTGTTTCATCTACATTTTTTTCTTCTGGTTTTTGATGAATATTCTCGGTTCCCGATGCTGTTGCTGTTCTTTTTTTCCCACGTTCAGTGCTGTTGCCTTGTGTAGCCTGATCAGAATTAATCTCCTAGAAAATAAAAGTCATGAACGTGAAGAAAAAAATAAATATTCCCAAAGGCAAACTCAAATTGTTACCTCCCTCCAACAGAAATGTAAGTTTATAAAAAAGAAAGTAAGCGTTCTTATAAAAACACATCATACCATCTTAGACTTAGTAAAAAGTTTTACTAAATGGGATTTTGGACATTAACCTTGCAAAAAGTTTTCCTACACTGTGTGTAATGTTAGTATCTGCACCCAATATATCTTTTTAGTTGCTTTAAAATGAGATTACAGTAAGACTGATAATCTCAGCTCCTCCCATGATGGTTCTTCTGGACAAGCTCCTTTTACTGCCTCTTTGCCAACTGACAGGAGAGAACTGAGGAGCAAGAGTAATGATTCCGGTACAGTAAATGATATTTACTTCAATATATGCAAATTTTTGAGACCAACCTTCAAGCAAAGGTGCAGATTACTAAAACCAGTAAAAGGAAAAAAATCAAAACTGGCAGGCAATAAAAGGGCGTAAGACCTGGTCACACACGAAGCTTGCTGTCTTTGTTAATTCTTTGTCACGTCTGAATAGCTACAGCCTACATGCATGTTTTTCTCATCACACTGAACAAGGTAATGGAAGTGATTAAATTTCATGAAGCAGTGTCTGTATATGTGAAACGGAAAGGGTGGTGGCAATGTAGGTCTCTCCACAGAAAAGTATTCATATGGAAACAAAGAGGAAGCAACCGGATGCAGGACCGTCATTTGAACACTGGCTTCCGAAACAGTTAGGAGGAGGGGCAGAGAAAAGGCTACTGAAGAGGTACGGCTGGGATGACTTGGCAATTTCAAACACACCAATTAAGGCCGCTCGCTATTATAAGAGCTCTGTCTGAACCAAGGACTTTTTTGTTAAATATTCTACCATTCTTTCTTAAGTCAGTCAGGCAGTCTCTCTAATCTTTATTACTGTTCTAGCAGCTTCATAGCAGACATTTACAACTTCTATTAATAAGAAATTTACAGATAACCACTCTGAAAATTTCAACTAAAGTCAGGTTTCAAGAACCTAGGAAGCATTTTTTCAAGATTTATTTAATAAATGCTTCCCCTAACTTCTCTAACTTTTCAGAAGAATCCTGTTTTGGTGAAAAATAAGGGGGGAAAAAAAGGAACCATACTTTGAAATTTGGGAAAGATTTTTTTCTTCTTTGTTAGCTAATGGGTGTTAATAACATGTGGATGTTACTTTAAAAGATTAAGAAAAAACTAACTTTTCTATGTGATGATAATCCGAAACACCTGCTTATTTCTCCGATTTCATCTAATCAAAAAAGACTGAGTAGATTTATAACTTCTTAAAATGTGTACAGCATGAACTGTCTATGTATCCCTACATTATTACAAAAATCTATTTTGATTTTAGAATCACAGAATCATCTAGGTTGGACGTGACCTCTGGAAATCATCTGGTCAAACCTTCTGTTGAAAGCAGGGCCTCAGGGTTTATCCAGGGCCTGTGACAAGCCAAGCTGTGAACAGCAACATTCAACCTCTTTTCTGGGTAACCTATTCCAGTGTTTAATTTTCCTCACAATGTAGATTTTTTTTTTTTTTTTTCTTTTGGCTTGCATCCAGATGGAATTTCCCCTGAAGCAACTTCTGCCTGTAGCCTTTTGTCCTGTCACCATGCAGCCTTGAGAAGAGAGCACTTCCAGCTTCTCCATAAATACCTTTTAAGTATTGGAAGACTGATTAGATCCCCCCCCAAGGCTTCTCTCCTCTAGGCTGAACAAGCCCAACACTTTCAACTTTTTTTCATACGACATCGTCTCCAAGCCTTTATCATCTTGGTGGCCCTCTGCAAAGCTCTCTCCAGTGTTTCAAAGTCTTGTGTTGAACTGGGGAGAATGCAGTATTTCAGGTGTGGCTTAATGAATGCCAGATAGGGTGGAATAATCACACCCCTCCATCTGCTGGCTATACTCTTGCTGATGCAGCTCAGGACCCAGCTTGCCCTCGCTGCTGCCAAGGCACGCAGCCAACTCATGCTCCACTGGTTGTCCACTGGGATGGTCCCCAGGTCCTTCTCAGCCAACGTACACCCCAGCCAGGCAGATCCCAGTGTGTTGTACTGCTGGCTTGAGTTAATCGATCCCAGGTGCAGGACCTCACATTTACCTTTATTAAACTTCATGCAACTGCATGTTTTGTAAGTTAAAAAATCATTACGATTTAGGCATGATCTTTTCTCTCTAATGGAAGCGGGGGGAAAGGCATTAAAAATCCTCAAAGTTTAAACAGTATTTTAGTTGCGACACAATCCAAAAGTTAGATGCTTATTTCATGCTGGAGGACCACTTGAAATTTTCCTGGCAATATCTTTAGTTAAAAGCTACAGGTGTCAACCTTCACTCTGAATCACAACCTTACTGTTATTTATACTGGAAAACAAGAGTAAAGGTGGGAATCTTCTGGAATTTTAGAAAAAAGAAGGAAGTAGCTTCTGATTCACCTATGCTATTTTTGAGCACATGAGCTCTGTTAATTACTCTGAGTAAAATAAATAGTAGTTTTGAAAATAAGGGGTCTTCTATTGGGCTAGGAAAGTGATATAACTATGCGAGATGAAATTGGGCATTACCAGTTCCTCAGAGACCACCTGCAGTAATGTGTACTGAATAAACGCCCAATGCCAATCTTCTTATAGAGTCCATAAAATCCCCAGACGTACCTTGTTTTTCACAGGTTCTGTCTTTGCTGGTGTGACTGAAATAATCCTCACTGGATTTTCATCATTTTCACTGACCCCGGTTTCTGATATATCCGAACTTTGTTCCCTGGTGGCATAATTGGAGGCAAAATAAAACCAAAATATATAGAACAAAAGAATAAAAATGTTTGCAATTATTTGAGAAATAAAATAATAACAATAAAAAAATCAATGCAGACAAGCTAAATTAGTTTAAAAAAAAAAAAAAAAAAAAAAGAGTTGAATTTGCCTGAGTCCACACTTACATTTTCTTTCCCAGAACTGGGAAAGGTCCGAAAGGGATTGGCTAGTCACTGACCCAAATTCCTTATCACAAACACAATGCCATATAATTCTTTTTGCAAACTTAAGACCAATGCTCTAAACGAGGCCTAGTTTTTTTTTTTCCAGGTACAAAAAGCCGATACTGGCAAAGGTCACGAGGAAAAATAAAGACCAGGAATGCTCAAACTTCAAGTTAATTTACACAAACACACAATAGTTTTAAAAACAAAATAGTTAAAAAAAAATAATCAAGATTATTACAGCATATATCATGCACACTTATGGAACAAATTCTGAACTGAGTTATACTTCCCTTTGGCCTTATGAAATGTAGCAACTACCTTCTTTAACTCTTTATTTTAGTCACCTAATAAATTCCAAAACAAATTAAACAATCTTGAAATTTGAAAGTGTAAACTGTTTCTCCAGATTTATGACAAATTTAAAAACTCTGGATCCACATAAAAATAACCCTTTCTAGAAGAAAGACCGGATATTACAAACATAAGTTGCATCCTTCCACCGAGATCCTGGTCCTGGCTCAGCAAGCTCTTTTTAATTTTCTTAATCTTAAATATGTCAGAATCTCTCATCTACATCAAAAATGTTTCTTGTTACCAATCAGGATTAATCCTAATTTATACATCAAAAATGTATGAGTTGCAAAATCTGTTTAGTACTAATTATGGGTGGTCTCTTCAATTAATATATTTTCTGATGTTAAAATATTATTAATATTAATCACCAAAATTTCAGACAGTATAGTATCTCTTCTGTTGTATCATATGTAATTACAGACAGGCCACACCTAAACACTGTACTGAATCTCTGTCTACTAAAAAACCCCAAACAAAAAGCAAATATGGAGATTTTTTTTTATTGAGAAATAGGAGTTACCTATAGAGAACTATTGTATTTTTTAAAAATGGACAAAATTAAGACACTCTTCAAACACATAGGTATACACACCAAATAATCTCCTGTCCTAAAACATGCCAGGCACGCTGCAGAACATGAAGTAAAGCATTGATGGAAGAAATTTCAAACTTCTGTACCTTGATCTGTTTCCTGCAGAAGAGCTCAGCTCAGAGTTTACACTGATATTGCTTCCAGTCTCTGATCCTGTAGTTCTAATATACGGTCTCCTTCCAGTTGCAGATAATGGTTTGTTTACTGTACCTAATACACCAGTTGGTTTTGGCTAGAAGAAAATGTTCAAATCTTAAAAAATGGGAACTTCAGATACATACTTAATTTTTAAAATATTTTCTTGAGTACTTTAAAATACTTTTTCTGGATTAACAGTCTCAATCATGATGCCATCACTTTAGAGCCACAGACCTCATCTTTATTTAAAAACCGCTGCCTATCCTACTTTTATTTCTTATAATTTAACAGCACTTCATCAATTGCCTTGCTCTTTCTCATGCTTTGAAGGGATAGCAGCTGGAAAAGTCTCAAGGAAAGCCAGAACGTTAGGTGATATCAGAGGACTGAAAGGATGTGGCAATATCCTTTCAGTCTCAACATCGCTGAGTGGCTCTGGGTAAGGATGAATGGGAAAGCAAATAAAGTGAATGTTGTCGTGGGAGTCTACTATCAACCACCCAGCCAGGATGACAACACCAATGAATTATTCTACAAGGAATTAAGGGATATCGCTAGATCAACTGCCCTTGTCCTTATGGGAGATTTTAACTTCCCAGACATCAACTGGGAATACCATACACCAGAGACAAACAGGTCCAGGAAATTTCTGAAGCATGTTAAAGATAACTTCTCGGTGCAGGTACTAAGGGAGCCAACTAAGAAAGGTGCCCTCCTAGATTTGTTGTTTGCAAACAGCGAGGGACGTGCGTGCTAAGTGGTGATTGGTGGCTGTCTTGGTCACAGTGCCCCTGAAGTAGCTGAGTTTCAAATCAGTAATAGGAGGAAAACTGCCAGCAAAACTTTGACCCTGAATATGGGGAGAGCACAGTTCAGGCTGCTGAAGGAGCTAGTTAGTAAGGTCTGCTGGGAGTCTGCTTTTGAAGGTATTGGGGTCCACGAATGCTGGTCACTTTTTAAGAGCCTTCTCTTAAAAGCGCAGGAGCAGGCAATTCCAAAGTGTTGGAAGTCAAGCAAGAAGGGCAGAAAACTAGTTTAGCTGAGCAGGGATCTTCTTAGGCAGAAAAGGAAAGCGCATAGACTTTGGAAGCAAGGACAGGTGACATGGGAAGACTATGGAGATGCTGTTTGCCACTGTAAGGAGAAAATTTGTGCTGTCAAAGCTTGATTAGAGCTCAAGCTGGCCAGCACTGTGAAGGACAACAAAAAGGGCTTTTTAAAATACGTTAATCATAAAAGGAGGATCAGAGATAACATTGGGCCATTGCTTGATGAGGTTGATCACCTCACAAACAGGGATGTAGACAAAGCAGAGACATTTAATGCCTTCTTCACCTCTGACTTCAACACCAATGATGGGCCCTGGGACCCCCAGAGTCCTATGGAAGACCATGACTGGGGGCATGATAAACTCTCAGCCAACCCTGAACTTGTTTGAGACTTGCTACTCCAGCTGGATGCATGTAAATATATGGGGCCTGATGGGATTCATCCCAGGGTACTGAAGGAGCTGGCTGATATCAGTGAGGGACCTCTCTCCATTATTTATCAATGGCCTTGGGAGTCTGGAGAGGTCCCAGTCAATTGAAAGCTGGCAAACATTGTCCCAATTTTCAAGAAGGGTAAGAAGGAAGACCTTGGTAATTACAGGCCTGTCAGTTTCACTTCAGTGCCTGGTAAAATTACAGATAAGGTTATTCTGGGAGTTACTGAAAAATACTTCAGACACAACACAGTCACTGGTCATAGCCAGCACAGGTTCACAAGGAGAAAGTCCTGCTTAACCAACTTAATTTCCTTTCATGACAAGGTCACCCATCTAGTTGACCAAGGGAAGCCAGTAGATGTGGTGGTTTTGGATTTTAGCAAAGCTTTTGATACTATCTCTCGTAGCATCCTTCTGGATAAACTGTCCAGCACACAGCTAGACAAGTCCCTAATCCATTGGGTGAGCAATTGGCTGTTGGGTCAGACTTGAAGGGTTATAGTAAGTGGGATTACATCAGGCTGGCAGCCAGTCACCAGTGGGGTTCCCCAAAGCTCAATTTTAGGGCCAGTGCTCTTTAATGTTTTAATAAATAATCTAGATGCAGGAGTTGAATGTACATTAATTAAGTTTACCTATGATACTAAACTAGGAAAAGCTGGACAATCACCAACTGTATGAAATTCAACAAGAGCAAGTGCCTGATTCTACACCTGGGACGGGGCAATCCTGGTTATATGTGCAAGTTGGGGACGAGGCTGGAGAGCAGCCCTGCGGAAAGAGATCTGGGGGTTTGGGTTGATGGCAAGTTGAATATGAGCCAACAGTGTGCCCTGGCAGCCAAAAGGGCCAACTGTGTCCCGGGATGCACCAAGCACAGCATCACTAGCGCGTCGAGGGAGGCGACTGTCCCACCCTACACTGCACAGGTGTGGCCCCACCTTGAGTACCGTGTGAAGTTTTGGGCGCCTTAATATAAGAAGGACAGCAAACTATCAGTGTACTCAGAGGGCAACCAAGATGGTGAAAGGCCTCAAGAGCAAGATTTAGAAGGAGCGGCTGAAGTAATTTTGTTTGTTCAGCTTGGAGAAGGCTGAGGGGTGACCTCATCACAGACTGCAACTTCCTCAAGGAGGGCAGCATAGGGGGAGTGCTGATCTCTCTCTGGTGACCAGCAACAGGGCATGAGGAAACGTTATGAAGCTGTGTCAGGGGAAGTTCAGGTTGGACATTAGGAAAAGGTTCTTAACTGTGAGGGTGGTCGCTCACTGGAACAGGCTCCCTGGGGGAGTGATCATGGCACCAAGCCTGTCAGTTGAAGGAGCATCTGGACAATGCTCTTTGTCATATGGTTTAGTTTTAGGTAGTCCTGTGAGGAACAGGGAGCTGGACTTGATGACCATTATGAGTCCCTTCCAACTCGAGATATTCTATGATTCTAACATATTTTGCACTTCTGGGAAAGGCTTTCCAAAATGTGATGCAGAATTAGGTTCACTACAACAGTAGGAAATGTGTACAGTTTTACTATACAAAAAGCTAGGGTAAAAATATTTAACATCATCTATCTATTCTAGGGTTCTCTCTGATACAGTGATGGTATTTCAGATCTTGCTATGGCTGGTATCTGTTGACTGATTTGGTCAGGCTGGGTAGGCAGCAGGAAGTTTTTTATTTTGTCTCTGGAGAAGAGTCAAGGAAGTTTTCTAACTGGCACGTCACATTCTTCATGTAATTTTACATTTCCTCAGAGTCCAAGTTAATAAATTAAGACATTCCCACAAGAAAAAATAGTTCCCATGTGTGGAAGTTAGGAGGAAGGAGGCAGAAGAAAGATATCACAGATGCTGGAAAACATTTGGCTAGCAAAAAAACCCAATGATCTGTGTAGAAATGGCCTGTTACTGAGCACATGTTCAGTAGCCGCATCATTCTAGTGCTAATACTGCGCAACATTTACTTTAAAATATTATTCTTATAAATTGTATTTGCTCAATTTACTGAGTATTTTATAAAAAGTAGGAAGCACTCGGCACAGCTAATAGGAGAGAGAGGAATGTTTAAGAGAAAAGAAAGTGCTTCTGCACAATCAGCAGGTTGCAAACTCCTGGCACCTACTGCCATAAGAGGTTGTGAAGGCAGAGCATCAGGAGGTTGAAAGCCAGAGCAGATAAATGTGGGAGCAAGTCCACAAGCAGACAAAACCAACAGGCACAAATGCAGAGCCTAGCATCCCATTATAAAAATTATGAATACTGGTGGAGTAAGAAGGGGAATGTACTGCAGAAATTGGCTAGACTTGCATATTCTCCCTAACCATGTTGTATTGGTCCCTCTGGAAAAACACCACCAGACCAAAAAACCCCATTAGTCTCAGTCAGTGGGGTATCCTTACACATCTGTGTTTTCTGAAACGGAAGTAGACAGAAAAAGAAGCACGTGTTTGTGTATTCTATTAGAGCATGGAATAAACTTTTGTCTTCCCAGAACGCTGAAAATTACCTAAATAATACTAGCTTGATATGAGACATCCCTCTCCGCCAAATCTAACTGTTTTAATAGGATGCAGGAGAGAAGCCTGTCTTACGCCAGTAAGATGTTTTTAGTTGACATAGTTTTAGTCTACATTGCTGAATGCCTGATCAAAAGAGAAATCTAGTAAGTTTACAAAGCCAACTAAACTTGTTTCAAACTAATCATATTTGAATGTTGTCAAAGGTGAAACAGTTACAGAGGTAGGCAGATACCTTCTTCTGAGCATATTTAAAGCACCAGTCTGGTACTGGCTGCTGCTAAAGAAGGTGGTCTTCTGCCTGCCTCCTCCCTTCCTAACACAACTCCAACGCAGCTCGCTGACTGGTGTCACAGGGTGAACATGAAGCAAGAAGAGGCAGGATTCTGCCAGCTGAGCAAACTTCACCCAGCAAACTGCTCTGATGGCGCAAACTTTTTGTATAAACAAAAAAACAGTGTGAGAAGAAGCAAATTTAAATTATATGGGTATTTACAAAATGATCATTTGACTCTACTCTTACAACGAACAATTACCACAAAGTTCTGCTCTAACTGAAGACGTTAGAAACTAATGCCGTAACAGTTCATGGAACACAGAAAATGAAAATTAATAAATGCATATGAATTTTATGTTAAAACCCTGATTTATACTGTTCTCAGGATTTTTATGTTTTATGGGTCAGCCAGCATTCTTTCACTAAGCTCAAGAAAAAAACCCACCTGCTAATTTTTTTCGAGTTAAACCAAAAAGCATTCCAGCATAATTTAACCAGAACCTAGGAAAGACAGTTTCAGAATCCCAACAAGGGACAGCTGACAGTAAAAGGTATAAAAATAGGTTCTGGTTTTTTCTGTTTGTTTTTTTTTTTTGCTGTGCATCCCTGCACCCACCAAAGACTTGGTGTTTTCTCCCCCCTTTGAAGGTATCAGCTAAGTTATGTCTGAAATAAAATGAGATGTTCAAAAGGGTGTAGACATTTGCAGTTGAATTTAACACCATTAACAGCTATATTAAAAATATTAAGATTGAAAATTTAAGACCTCCAATGCTAGTGGTGTCACAATTCAGTATCTACATCATAACTTTAGGCCGTGCTTATTTGAATAATGGAAAAACCTATAGTTATGTGAAAAACAGTAGTTAATCAAGAACCTATGCCTCAGTGCATAGGTAACAATCTTGGTGTTGCATACTCACCAGGCAGGTGTGTTAAAAGGCATTAACTGTGCCATCAAATAAAAGAATCACGAATTATGGTACACAAACTCTTAATAAAATTTTTAAACTACAGCAGTCCAGGACATTTAAAAAAAAAAAAAAACACAAGTATATTCAGAGAATTGTAACTTGTCAAAATACAGTACCTTTCCTGTCAAAAGAAGAACCCTTATCTCTTCTGAAATGTAATTCCTGTCATTGCAGAAATCCTGTATAAAAAAAATAAAATAAAAATCAGTTTGTGTTTGATGTCTCAATCTTGCTGTTGGACTTTTATATATACATGATTGACTTTTCAAATTAAATGCTACTATCAAGTGGTACAGATACTTCCCACCAAGCAACTTCCTGACAAATGACTCAATCTAATAAAGTTAGGTCAAACCAGTATTTTGGAAGAGATTTGTAGCGAGCATTACTGAATGACAGTATACCATACCTGAAGTTGGGATTAACGTTTTTTTCTTCTTGAATGACATGGATCATTTGCAGTGAAGCAAAACTGCCCTCTCTATTTTTTCACTTGCATCTTTTTAATGGGAAATCCAAAGACAGGAAAAGAGGTGCTGTTTTCTCTAAACAAGTTGAAAGTCGCTACCTTTGTCACTCTGAGTGCAGTTTACACAGACCAAAACACTAAATCTGAATGCAGGTAGCTATCACAGACACCAGCTCCTTGTCACCATGGCACCTGCCATTTTACAATTAAATAAGTGAACTAAATTTTGCTTAAACAGACTCTGGAAAGGCTGTTAATCTGTTAATTAACACTGACACTGCCTAAGACACTGAAAAATGTGAAATGTATTCTTCAGTACAACCAAAACATCAGGTCTGGTCCAGAGTTTTACTTTGATTCCACTTAGACTTTTTAGAAGTATGCCTCTTAAAGAACAGTGTTGCTATTGCTGACAGTAGAGCTGTACTCACAACTATTACTAGGCAGTAAGAGGACCAACTTGTACAGCAAGCGAAATAGCCGAACAGCTACTGACAGATATAAACATACCACAGATAACATAAAAAAATGTTCCCTTTTTCTTTTTAGTCTGCTTTGCATTCTAATTCAGATATACAGTCAGAATATACATATATTCTTATACATTCAGAAGCACTTGTAGAACACTTTAATGAAGTGATCTAGCAATACATGCTAACTTACCAATATTTACTCTAATTAGCTCTCACCTCATTACAAACATTTCTGACACATGTTCATAAGACACAGGTAGCATAGTATACAGCCGATGTTAAAATTAATTGCTGAGGATAAAATATATGCATTTTCCCCACTCAATGACATTATGTTATGGAGATAATCAGCTCTCAGTTATAAAAATCAAAGTATTTCCCTTTATTACTTCGGAAATTAAATTAAGAAATTTACCTTTTCAGGTTGTGTAAAAAATTTGGTTGGCAATACGGGGTCCTTCGGTGAATCTGCATTGCACAAAGCACTTTTGCTGTTGATTACACATAGTGCTACATCACATACTGTATAAAGTTTCTGAAGAAAAGAAGAAAAGTATGCTTTAGGAATTACTGTTTTTACAGTGTACAGAGAACGTAGTTCTTTATAAAGTTTAATCTATGTGTTAAAACAACCACCACTGAGGACATATTTTGTAATTACATCATTATCCATACTGTTAGCCCTTCAAACACATACAGAAGTCCCCATTTTTCACATGATACTATTTTTAATAAAAACTAGTAATACCTTACATGCCCATGCTGTACAATAGAAGCTCTTGCTCAATGAAACCACCATAAATGGTTTCTCATCTCTGCTAGAAACTAATAGGTTTAACAGTAGCCATATAATACAGTATTTCCTCCCCCAACAGCAAAGATATTTATGTTGGGAATCTAGGCAATAGGAGTTAAAATAAGGCAGGTAGGCAGTAATAGGATTGTTTATTAACTCCATTAGGTATTGTGTGCTGGATAAGGTCAGCAAAGTTCTGAAAGAATGAGATTGGCAACATACAGACAATGCTTGCAATTAACGCTCTCTCTAAAAGACCATAAAAACGTCTGAGCTAGTGCTTTCAGATTTCCTGCAAATCCTGTTCATCAACTGCTTGTGAAACAGCCCATCACCCAACACTTATCTGAATTGCATTTCTTACTTCATTGGCCTTTGGCTCATCAGGAGACTGAGCATCTCGGGTAAGCTTGATGTTTTCTGCCATCTTTTTCATGAAGGCATGGCTATTGTTCTCATTCTTTGTCATTAAAACTTCAAGCATGAACCACAGGCACCTAAAAAGCCATAAAACCACAAGCAATTACATTCCAGCTTTTATACTGCAGCTCCTACATACAGCGATGTCTTAATTTTTGTCAGCTGTACTAGCTTTTTCTTAAGAAGCCACAATCAATTTGAAGATATCATAAACAGATAACATCATCCAAAGGTGTAAATAGAGTCTAGACCTTTAACACACAAAGTCTTAATCATACCCTTTGGAATAAATCTGCCAAATCATCATGCTTCTCTATTAAATCTGTAAACACTGCCCAACCAATCAACTTTTTTGTCTTCCAAATATGAATAGAATGGTGCCACCATCATCTAGATGAAATTCTGTAATCACTACCTTGGGCTATGTCTATGTTCCTATCAACAATGTACTCAAACACACTCAAAACAGGCTTAAACAAATCATACTGCTGCTAGACAGTTACCCACACTACGTGGTTTAATACTAGAATTTAGGAGAGGAGATCCAAAACTGAGCAGGTCAGATTCTTGCTAATGCCCCATATGAGAGGAAATGAAATCCTTACAGATCGAATTAGCTTTCCCAGTTTTCTTTCTTTAAATCTGGTTTATTTATAGGGATAACCCATTATATTTTGACTAAAAGTTTATTTTAAGAATTTTTCAGTTACGATATAAAGCACAACTGGTCCATCCATGCTATTTGCTATCAAGCTTCAGAGCTGCATGTGGCTAGAGGGTCAACAACAGTCATAAAATGGTAAAATAATACTTAATTGGGAAAGACATATAGGTGGGTCTGAGAAATGCAGACTTTGCCAGTAGCTAATTTAATTCTGAAGCTCTGGAAGAGAGATTACCTTGTAGAAAGAGGCTAATAAAAAACTAGAAAAACAGGATGACTGAACATTAGAATTCCCTGTCCACAAAAGCTCCAATCTTAACTGATACAAGTTAAAGATTGTAATGCAAGAGATGAAGGAACTCTTAGTTATCTGGTGTTCAAATAAAATAAGATATCTATATTCTGACTTGCATCCAAGAGCTACATATGCTATAAGTAAATAAATGTGTTAGATACCTTTACATCCATCTATTCACTATTCTTGAGAACTTACATGGGATGAATACAGAACTGATAACATACCACACCGACCCAGCTTTTCCAAAACCCTGTGTCATCCGAAGATTGCTATTGAGGACAAATTTTATGCTGGTAATTCCAGTTAACACGTGTCAACTTCAATAGCTTGATTTCCTCATGAAGTCAACAAATTAAATAAACCATTATCAACCCTGAACCAGACCTTTCCAGAACAACAGTGGGATTTCATGTAGTAAAATAAGCACCAGGAAGAATACAGTCACATAAAGCAAGTTCATTTTCTGTATCCATTTCACTATTTTTGGAGCATGAATTTGGAAGAAAACAATGCTGTCTCAAGATAAAAAAGAAGCCCCAACCCAAAAATACCGCTGTATGATACACTTAAAAAACTTTGTAAGAATAACTATCACAGATAATGGTTGGGGAACTTGCTAAGCACGTATTTACTTTACGTGACTGTATTTAGGCCATGTAAAACCAAGACGAACTCAGGAGACAACTACAACACACACTGCCAGGCTGCTTTTCCAAGTTCACAAGCATCTATGTTAACATTTTAAAGTGAACACTGTGACTCTCAGAACTCTTAAAAGAAACACTGTATTACATTATATGAGAAAAATGTTTTGCATTTATCTCAGGAGACTCTTCAGAGAAGTAGTCCTGCCAAAATTCCTGTACAGAGTATTTCTTTGTTTGGAGCAGTCCTCTCTGGCTAGTTCAGCCAGCCTGTGACAAACATGAGGGAGGAAATTTGACAACAAAGGAGATCTAAACAAGGGGTGTCCAAAAAAGCTCTGTGCACTAGAAAGCACTTCTCAGAGAAAGTACTAACTCAACAACTGCGAATCAGAACTTGTTCCATGCATTTCGGATAAAGTACATGCTGGGGAGTGCTTTCAGATGTTGCCAGGAACAGGGAGTCCTGGGACAAAATGTAGACTGAATGATTAGGTAAGAAATCTTCACTGACTTCGGGTTCTGACCAGGTATGAGTCAAGTAACTCAAAAAATCAGAATAAATTAAAATTTTTCATTTAAAGAAAGAATCAGACTCTCACAGGTGAAGGTGCAAAAAGAATTAAGATGTAAACTGGTCTATTTGTGCCAAGAATGAACTGCTTTTCTAATTATGTATATTGTAGGATGTGGTTATACACATGCCTTTGTAATACCAAAACAACACAGCTCACAGTCCCACCAAAAATAAATACAAGAAAAAACCAAAACACTAAAACCAAAGCGGGGGGGGGGGGGGGGGTTTAAACAATTTTCTTTAACAATTTTTTTAAGTGTTAAAATTTAACTATTTTTTTAGAATCCATTATAAGACACAAAGGAATATAAAAGTTATGCTGAAGGTATGGAAGATTATTTCTTAGACATACAAGAAGGTCTCAAACTAGAAACAGTACAGAACAAGCTTCTGTATGACAGGCTTGTGTACAATAACCTGTGCTGAATACATTAAGAAGCACTAAGCCTGCACTGCAGACATACAGCACAAATGATTAAGTCAGCAGCAAACTTAGCACGAATTCTAGTAGGTTTGCATAGGGAAGAAAAAAAGAAGAAGAAAAAAGTTTCCAGTGAAGCAGGACTCTGACCCAGCATCAGTGGCATTACGTTTTCAAGCCTTGGAGAAGCCCTATATTTTATAAGTTCCAAAATATTTGAACTGACATTACTTGGCATCTCTTCAGTGTGTTGGGAAATTCTACAGGTATTCCTAGGCACAGATACAAGAATCCAAAATCATTACTTCACTTTAAAAGAAGCCTAGACAACTAACTAATGGGGTATACTATGGTGTGACCTACAGGCTACCATTTACTCTTTCATAATATACTGCTAAGCAGCTGTTGATGCCTTCTTCCTTGGTATAAATTGTTACACATTTCCAAGATTACTGTTTTGCAAAATAATTCCTTCTTCTAACCAGTTTTTTCCAAGCACAGAAAAATTCTCAGCATAACAACTCTAGAATCATTTGGCACTTACTCTTTGACATCACGAAGCTGATCAACATCCTGAGGTTTTGTGAAATCCGGATCATGTGCCAGTAAGTGAATCATATATGGTACCACATATTCAGGCAGCAAGGATAGCAATTTTTCTACAGTAACAAAAAATCATAAATAACCTCTGTATTACACACACACACGTGCATCACAAGAAACACTTTTTAAAGTATTAATTTTCAAATATGGAATGTAAAATTTCAATTTACATTTTCTTCCTGCAAATTTTAATTTTAATGAATCATTAAAAATAAATGAACGAGTTCTACTACTACAAAACTATCTGGTCTTACTTCAGGAAGACGGTCATAAAGCTTGAAATATGATAAAACAAAATTTTATTTTTTGAGCAAAACTACCACCACAGTAAGAGCACTGTATTTTACATGTATCATTCTCAGCAATGTACAGAGAAATAAAATACTTCATGGTTTATGCTAATGCTAAACTAAGTAAATTTAGATTTGAATGTGTCTAATATAAAGATGAGGAAACAAAAATTAAACTTAGCCAGTGTTTCTTGACAAAAGCAATTTGCTTAAGTTTTAATGATTACTCCTTCCAGTTTAGTATTTGACTGTTGTATTCTTAACAATTTTACTGAAATACTAACCGTTAGCCATAGGATTCTGCTTAATATATTCTCTTCGTATACTGATGTTTTTGAGCAAGCACTGTCTGGCATGTGCTCTTCTCTCTTTCACAGGGTCTTTGGCACACAAAGCAAAGATTGCCATATATTCCAAAGGGAGCAGTAATTTCACAAGTGCCTTATGCAGTTTCTGGGCAAATATCTGCCTCACTTGGTAGCACTCATCCTATAGCAACACAAAACATGAATGCAACCATTAAAATCTTGGTCTTGGGGGAAAAAAAAAAAAGCATTCAAGGTAGAATTATGAGGAGACATTTTAAAAATATTAACAGGTGCAGCACAATAAATACCTGAAGTTTCAAGAAATTTTCAAGTTTCTTTTGAAAGCTGCAGTGAGGAACAGAAAATTCTCAATGTAGCAGCAATAAAAGCTCAAATGTAAGGACTCTGAACTCAATTAAGAGTCACTTCAATTCAAATGCAGTTACTTACATTAATGACAAGTGCACAGAGCTGGAACTGTTCTGGGGTAATTATTTCATGGTAACAGGGTTCCTGTGCAAGCTTCATTATTGCACTACCAGCAGCTAACCGCAGTCGAGACATATCTGATTTACTATACAAACATGAGAGAAAACAAAACAAAACACAACTCTCCACAACTATCCTTAAATTACTTGCATGTCATGACGACTTCTTTTTACAAGATCAATGAGCAATTAAGGTTTTTCTCCATCAGATCAGATGACAGTTCTATAGCTTCAGATCAAGCTAAATTAAACCAACCAAATTTGTGAAAATAAGGGGCTCTACTTTCCCACAAAAAACTCAATTCCAGTAAAATAATGAAATGACAGGAGTCAAGTTTCTTGGTTTCGTATCACTGCCTAAGTGAAAGCAATGCTTTTGCCACAGATTTTCTCTTTCCTTCCTTCACCCTCACAATGGAGATGAGGTGCAAAGTTACCTCAGTGTTGGAATGAAGAAGCTCTACCCAAGATCGCCCCGACTCCTAAGTGTGTTAAATCTCATCACTCAAATTGTTTTCAAAGATACTCTCGCAGATCTTTTACTCTCTAGAATGTCTTTTACTATCAAGACACTGACAGGATTCCAAGTTAGATTATCAGTAAATTACAAAAAAGAAGGAGTATCAAGCATTTTTTTACCCTTGCCATTCCACTCCTAAAATTAAAACTCCAATCAGATCCATTTTCTATCATCCCATTAGCCAACATTGTGCTCAACTTAAAAATTCTAAAAAAGCTCCAAAAGAATTAATATTCTTTGAAATTCTACAACAAAACTGATGGAAGCATGAAAGAAAAAATCTGACCTGATTCGCTTCTGTTCTGTCAAGTCTCCTTCACTGACAAGCATAGCTGATAATAACCGGAGCGTAGAATTTGCGGATTTCGACTGGTTGTTTTTCATACCCAACAGCCAGCGTACCAAAAGTTTAATTGCTTGCACCTATCAAACATGAACAAATAAACAATGAACTTACTTCCTAAAGTTGATAAGGCACTAAAACCTACTGCTGTCAAACTGAAATTTCCATAGACTTTATTTATTAGATAGAGCTGATTTATTTTTAAAGGAACAGAATGAAGCAGTAAATATTTACAGAGTGAAGAAGGAAGTAGCAGTCTTTGTGACATCAGGACATTTCAACTACGGATCAGTGTCTTCTCACAAGTGCATCTAGAGGATGCAGGATACTTGCTACATGATTAAAAATAAGAGCAAGTAGATAAACATTTCTAGAAATGGCCATAATTAGATTCACGGTAAATAGCCTATAAAGATGAATGAATAAAATTCACCAATGTCTCAATTTAATTCAAATCTGTTTACAGTCAGTACAGTCAAATTACCTTTCTTGTAAGGAAAGCTTAAACTTTTGATTCTCTTCATTTTCTTAACATTCAATATAATTAATATCAGTAACTGAAGACACTAAAATGCAATTTCTGCCAGTTCTATAACTGTGTGTATAATCCACAAAAACTCTAGAACTCTGCATATTCTAAGACGACTAATAGAAAAGTACTCAAAGGGATTTATTCTAACTCTTTCATCGCACAGCCTGGAAAAAAATAAGCTTTTAATCTCAAATATACACATTGTTACTGACAGCAGATCATTCACCTTTGCTAGTACTTCTGGAGAAACTTCTTCATCTGGAGACCACAATTTTCCATTTTTCTCACCTGTTGACTACAGATATTCATGTCAGTTTAAGAACTGGTTCAACACATACAGAAAATGTAGACGTAAAAATGGAAAAAAGTGACGGACTAAGATTTCTTTCACACAAAGATCTTTTATAATGCAGTATCACTGTACTAGCCATTTATAGAACATTCCTTTACTGACCCATTTAACAAAAACAAACAAACAAAAAACCCAAACCAAAACAAAACTCTATTCCCCACAGAGCTAATAACAAGCAAACAAAATAGTAAGGACTTACCAAAAAAAGAAAATCTTACCCTGTCATTCATTAGGAGATCTTTCACAATGAAATTTGCTACAACAGATTTCATTGGAGAAGCAAACTGGTCTGGAGCCAACATAGAAATATGACCCAATGAGACTAATGGAGTTATAAGTTGTTCTGGTACATCAGCATTCAAACTTCTACTAAGAGGCTGAGGAAGAAAAAAAAAAAATTTTTTTTTTTTTTTTTTTAAATTCAACTACAGGTAAGTAAGCTAGCACGCTGAATTTATTTTACTGCTGTATTGCTGATGAGTTTCACAGTTTTGAGATACGGGCAAAATAAGCTTTATATTCTTTTCCTGTTTTAATGGTGAAACACATTCAAACCTGGGAGATATAGGAAAAACTCTGGCTCATTCTATTCAAGAGTTGTGAAAACCTGAATTGTAACTGCAAATGGCAGAAAATAATAGCAGGTAAAAAAAACCTTGGAAACCACTAGGGACATTTCTATCAAGCAATCGGTATTTCTCTTCCAGGTAACAGTCACCAGTATAATTCTGTGTTGCTGTATTGCTCAGCACCCTCACATCATATTCTGGTATTAGCAAGGGAACACGCACTCTGACAGAAGTCCAAGCAGAGATCAAACTTCATAAGCTTAATTCAAAGCTTTTCACACTTCTGAATTATGCATAGGTTCAAAGACAGCCAAGATTAAGAACCTAAGATATTTTACAAGTGCAGGCTAATAATGTTATTTAAAAGATTACAGTGAAAAGTAATAACCTCTCTGCTCTGCATAAGGGGACTTTTTGCTTTACAACTTGCCTAAGCAAGCAGTAAGTGAGCAGTAAGCTAATATCCGAGCTTATAGTCAAGTAGTTATTCTGCACTCACTTCCTCAGTGAGAAAGTGCTGTATGTGCAAAGACCTTAAACATGATAATTTAATGCAGTTTGAAAGTAGAGGGTGTTACCTCTCATTTAGTGTGGATCATTCTAGCATATTTAGTTTATTTCCCCCTAACTTTTCCCATGTAGACAAAAAGGAGTACACCTTATCTATCAGACATCACAATATTACAAAACTGTGACTGTAAGAAACAAACATTAATATTTGCTATTGTAAAATTAATGACTTATCTCAAGACCAGGTTGGACGGGGCTCTGAGCAACCTGATCTAGTTAGCGGCATCCCTGCTCACTGCAGGGGGGTTGGACTAGATGACCTCTAGGGGTCCCTTCCAACCCAAAACATTCTATGATTCTATCTTGACTACCATGCCCCTGTAGGCTTCCTGACCTCACAAATTGTTATCTGTTAATAAACAGTATGAACTAAATTAATGGTAATTACTAGTATCAATTAAGAAGAACAGAAATAAATCTTAAATTCAAAAAAGCAAGACATACCTCAAAGATCTGTGCAAGTTGTACTTCTTTATTTGAAAATATGGCATGTATACAGTGAACAGCTTGTTTTGCCTGATGAGGAGTGCCTCTTTTTGCTTTCTGATGCAAAATCGGAATTAGTGTTCTGTGAACATTAAACAAAATACTTCAAAATGCAATTTGCAATATACAAAAACATAAAGCTCTTCACCTATACAAATCTATCCTAACAGTCTTATAAATCAAGCATTCCTTTGAAGTCTGTTCAGGAAGGATCATAATCATAAAGTGAAAAGCAGGATGCAATTGTATTTAGTAATACTTGTTGAACATCTGACTGTACACAGTTAAGCAGAAAAAAGCCCACAGGGAAAAATCAAACATGAAAGAAAATAATGATCAAAATAAGGCTGTTTAGAAAGCCAAATATAAGGTGGGGGGAACCTGACAGGTTCAGTGATGGTAAACTCCTGGATTTGTTATCCAAGCTTGGAACTGACAGCTGAAGAAAATTTATGAAACAACCAGTAAACATTAGTGTGTTTATAGGCCTTTACTACTTTAATTTTGGTCTTTAATAGCAACTTGTACTCAAGTGAACAACTGCTTTGTTCTCGGCTTTTGCATTTGAGTCCCCTGAAACACATCTGCTGATCAGAGGCCACTGAAGGGAAGAGCAGGGCAGAAGCCACTCCAGAGACCAGGTTGAGGTTGCTCAGGCTGTTCAGTTCCTACTCCTGAGAGAGTGCTGGAAGGCAGGCCTGTCCCCTGAGAAGTCATCATCTGAGACATTAACTCGTGAGGTTTACCATGCAACTCACCCAACAAATGACACAAGAAAACAAAATTGCCTAGAAAGCGTCTGACACACAAACAGCTAAAAAAAAAAATAAAAAAATCCTGCTTTCTTGAAAGGCTCAGTAACAACACAGCACTCAGTACATGGATTATTTAGCACCCAGCCTTCACTGACACATTCTACATAATCAAAATCAGCAATAAGAGGCAGAGGAGGCGCTTGCAGGTTTGAAAGAATGAAGTCTCAAACATTTTCCTCAAAACCCGCATAAAGCGCAAAACCAAAGACCCCTAGAAAAATGTTAACGGTATCCTGAGTAGGAGAATATCTCTTCTCAAACCTGCTAAGATTCCACAAGTTAGATTAAATAAGAAACAAAATAGCAAAGAATTTGGTATAACATACAGTTAAAATAACCTTCAATGCCCAACCTACAGTCTTCATAGTGTAAGTACGTGCACATTAAAGGGCCTTTGCCCAGTGTCGGTGTATCGGTTACAAACCATACCTCATCACATGCCAACTGACATAAAACTGCAAAACGTGAAACCTGACATGTTTGCATGCACCTTTACATGTTCACACCTGCAAGTTCTCACGTGGTCCATAGGCTCTCTTTGAGCATGGCCAATGCTTCCATCAGACTCTAGAGTCACGTGGCAGTCCTTGCCCATGAACTGGTGCACAAACCTATTAATTTCCCATACGAGGGAGAACTCGGGCTACTGCTGGTGAGCATTACTTCGAAGGACAGCAGGCAGCTTGTTGGCGCAAGCAGTTTTAAAAAAAACAGGTCACTTGAAACAAACTATCTTGCTGATTATATCAAAACTTGTGTTTATGATAAAGATTTCTGAATATATGACATCTGGAACAACTACTTGTCCTCGGACTTCTTTTTCTTTGTGTCAGTGTAAACACTGACTTGGTTTTGGCTTTCAGAACATTAACCTGACTTGCTTGCAAACCATGCCGAGGGCTAGACTTCCATTTGGACAGTTATATTTTTAAGTTACTTGAGACTGCCTAGACTATACTTCAAGCAATACCTGGCTAAGGCATGAAGCCAAAAGAAATGTCAGCAATACCAGCTCCTTTGATAGAAGGTGATGTATCTCAGCAATGCAGAGTCTTGACTAAACTCCAGTAGGGAACTATACACAATTAGTACTATACTGACAATGGGGATTGCTGGGATTTTCCTTCTCTTCACCCCTACAAATGTCTTGAAAGGTGTCTCATATGTGACCTCGTAGCATTTTTCTTTTGCCCAAAATCTGATTCAAATCCTTAAGAATTCTGAGGTTACACCATCAATTCACTGAGAATTTAAGGTGTACACTGGTATGCATTTTAGCATGGTAATACCCAAGATGCTATTTCAATATATGAAAACGTGAAACCTGTGTTTTATCATCTGGATGAGTTAGTTACTAACAGTCTAATTTTAAGGTTTTAGATGTTACCCACAAGGTTTTAAATAGTCTGTGAATACCTAGTAGATTATGCAGCTATAATCAGCACTTAAAGCATGAATTGCATAATGCCGACTTATAGACAGCCAATTATTCTTTGTTAGAAATTCATGCCTGCTTCTGGATCTTGTTTTCCCAACTTGTTTCATAACAAACAGAGCTGTTAAGCATCAGAGATTATATTTTTGTTCCTTACAAAGATAGAAAAATTGTGTGAAGGACAGATACGAGTAGAAACGATGCCAAGGAATTACATCTTCGCCATATTTTTGCTGTTGCTTATTTTGTAACCTGGGAAACATGCTACACGCAATTTTTAATGTCTCTATTATAAGAAGATTTTTAAGAAGTACCTAACATGTTCAATAAATACACAAAAAATTGCAAGAACACAGAATTTAAAAATGAAGAGACAGAAAGGTAGTGAAGGAATGCAAAATGATGGAAGAGAAGCTTTTAATATTTACAAGATTATAAAGTAATTTTAGGGGCAACATATTGAATACACTATGAAGAGGCAAAATTCCAGGTATGAAAAGCAGCATGTGAAAAAATACACTCACGATCTTATCTGTGGCAGGTCTGTTTCTATTTTGTGACCCGTGTTTCTGAAAATCTGAATGGCTGCCTCAGCTACCTTATCATCTTCCATCCTGAGGCACTGCAGCAGAGACTCATAGGTCTCTGCAGAGTGGAACGAGGTAGGATGTGTAAAGGACAGAACCTGTAGATACATATTAAGAGAAAGGTATACTTATTCATGGTAAATGAATCATCAGAAAAACAAAATTATGGCTGTTTATGAGCATTACCATCAACATAAATAGCTATTACATGCTCATGAGAGATTATTACATTCAATAACTGCATTTTGGAGAATGTGATACAAGCATTTTCAATTAATCTATGCTTTGTTCTTCAGGTCCTCCCCTCCTCCAAATATTTTGTAAGATACTACATTATTTGAATATGTTTATTTGAATTATTTGAATATATTTATTAAAATGAACTTATTCAAGAGTATTTGGTTACATTCCAATGTACTTAAGAATGCTTTTTTCTAACTTAACTTTCTCCAGAATCTGTAGTCCCTGAGCAAAAAAGTAGTCAAGAAGGTTAAGATATCTACAAAACATAGATCACTGCCCTTTTAATCCAACGCTAATGAAGTAACACACATTCTGTTAAACAGAAATGTCAAATAAGAAACTAAGCATGCAGAGATTCAAGGCAAGACAAGAGAGAACAAGGTTATCCCAAAGCAAAACTATATTAAGTAAAGTTCAGATAACATAAGGTAGGGAGAACAATGAAAAGTTGCATGTATTTTGTGTATTCTTTGCATTTATCTTATCTTGGTTTCTCTGATCAGAGTTGCCTACTTGTGTGAGTGTCAATGTGTGAAATAACATTCTCAAAGAGATCCACATCGCAGCAACAAAATCTTCAACCTTAGCAGATTTCTTTTCTGAGCTACATTAGCAAACAGACATTACTTCCTTGCATACTTCTGTATAACTATTTTTACCATGGTTGTCACTACCAAATTTGGTGTGATATGTCTCCATAAACTCCATCTCATTCATTCACATTTCTGAAAAGTCTCACTTTAATTATGTAACCTTCCCCTCCATTCCCTCCTATATTTTATACTGCCCTTTGAAACATATTGAAAATAAAGTCTCGTTAGCGAACTGCCAAATCCATCACAGATGTTTTCCAGATACTTTAAATCCTTCTTTCTCCCCCAGCTATTTCTCATCACCACTGAGAACACAAGTTCCTCCATGCCCTTTTTTCTTCTCTACATAACTTGGCTCTTGAGTTTATTGCTTGCTTTTCTTCCAGTATCATACAGGCCCCAAAGAACGTGCTTCTCCTAATTTCCCCATTTCTCTTCCTCTCACTTCAGCTCTGCACCTTCTTGACTTCCCTAAGCAGAAACCAGTTTCTGCTTTAAAGTGTGTTTTTCAACTCTTGGCACCCTTTTCAAAACACACTTCTTCAAAAATCCCATCTCTTTCATTATTCTTTTCTCGAGTGAGTATTAATAACCAAGCACTTTCAAAGATTAAAAAAGTAATTATCTAAGTAATAGCTATTAAAACCATGCTAACATTAAATCGTTAGTCATACCACTTCTGTCCCTTCCATTACAAACTATAGCTGCATTAATGTAGATTACCTTGAGAAGTTCAAGTCCTGCACGAATAGCAGTATCAGGACTTACACCCTCCTCTTCATCGTCAGCTGTCCCCTCTATGGATTTATTCATTAGTTTTACTAGTGCACTGAAATAAGAGATATAAAAAGAAAAAAGTAAATTGATGTGACAATGAACCATGTTAAAGGTTGGAGACACCAGCAAGATCACCTGCTTTTGACAATAAAGGGAAGGCAGTAGTCCATTGAGGGGGAGGTGGTGTGGTGTTTGGTTTTAGAGTTGGGTTTTTTTAGGGCGGTAGGGGGTTGGGTTTTTTTGTTTTTTAGGGTTTTTTTTTTAATCAAGACATTCCATTATTCCCTTTCCTTCTGACTTAGCTTTCTACAAAATTAATTCTTTAGGGAAAAAAAAAACCCAACCCAAAACCACCCCCCATCATGTTGGCAGCATTCAGATCAACACATAGTTGCATGACTTTCAGAATGTAATTAGGTTGCCAGACAAGTCTCAAAAGAAATCCAAACATTCTCTTACACAATCCCACAAAAGCTAATTAATTTAACTGCTATATGGAAGACTGTGTTGCAGTTTGCTATGTGAAAATTATGATCAGCATTTTCACCTTAAGCCCCACAAATAGCAGCTTCACTGGAAACCACTACTGTATTTTTTAAATTATTTGCAGACAGCGCTGCAAAAAAGTAGAAGAAAGAGAAAAAAAAAATCGCATTCTTTAGGCTGCTAGAAATGAAGACATCACATAAAATGTTTTATTAAAAAAGCACATTTACCGCTAGGACAGACTAATCTAAATCCCCATAACTTTTTTTTTTTTTTTTTTGTGGTGTCATTTAAATCTCATCTTTATAATCATTCATGAGTTAGTATGATCTTTCAAACTTACCTAATGGCTTCTGAGTCAATATGTACAGGGGCAATTCTTTCCAAAAGAAATTTTACCATTTCCAGAAAAGGATTTGTTGGCTGCTTAGGATTTGCAAGTTTCCGGGCTATCTCCCTCTACAAGAATGTTAGATACAAACAAGAATTATATTAATCTTTCTTACTTCTTAAGCATGTTGAATAAGCCAAATACAGCCACTTATTTTAACCACAATTGTCTATATAATCAGTGAAACTTATTTTAAGGGGGGCTGTTATTATCCCCCAAATCTTTCTTAAGCACATCATTACCAAACTGTGTAAGCGTTAAGATGCATTTAGGTTTCTAGTGAGAGTTCTTCAGAGTTTCTTAAGGAACTGCAGGCCAGATCCAAAACAGTATCAAGGGAGAGCTAAAGGCAATGTAGATGAATTTAAATATCCATGTTGACAAGAGTAACCCATAAATCTGTAGGTAACCGTGTTGTATGTGAGATTTTATAAGCAACAATGAAAAAATTGCACTAAAAGCTACACTACTGCAGATGTGCAGAAGCACTACACTACCTTGGCTACAACAGATGTTCAGACCCCATGTACTTGCCTATAAATGTTTTGGATCCCAAACCCTATTTTTCCCTTCTGAATGCCCCAAATGTCAAGAACGTTAAATTCAGCTGCAAACCTAGCAGAAGGTAGATAAGAAGATATTTTTTGTTTTGAACAGAGGTCTAAAAATCTCTCAAAAGAAATTACTTCTTGACCTTCGTTTTCCTAAAGAGTTGGATACTGCAGACCCTACAAACTAGTAAATTGTTCTAACTGTTATGCTAAAATATCTTCAGGAAGCAGGAAGAAACCTTCCTCTTTAAATTGCATCATTGCATTCCCAAAGTGCAAAATTTACTAGTTTAGAAGGAGACCTACTCTATTCCTTCCCTGGGCAATCTCAGAGCCATTACACAAAACCCAAGAAGCCTATATTTGTTTGTTGATGCTCTCTATAGTGATTTCTAAAAACTAAATTTCTTACTTTATTTTGGGACCATAACAAAATAAAAAGTTTTTGATTGTTACCACAATCTGTAAATCTCTGGAAAAGTCCAATTTAATAGTAAGGTGTGTATTTTCATCAAGGAGGTTAAATAGATGAGAGAGAGAGAGAGAAAGATGTATCTCAAAATAATGTTCTAGGAAGAAAAATAAATGAATAATAAGCAGATGGTATAATGTTTGGTTTGCTGGACTCGGAACAAATTTCATCAGTGTCAGAAGACAGTTTAGGAACCTTAGCATAAAAGTAATTTGAAATAAAATACTGAAAAAAAATGAAACTAGTCTTTTAGTCTTTATGTTTGATGATCATAAACCCAGGAAGGAACAAAGCTAATGTTTTCTTAGGAAGCAAGACGATGATCATAAATTATATTTTCTATAGTATCTACAGGTTAACCAAAAAGGTTATTTTATGAAAATCAGAAATATGTAAAAATCATGTTAAGGTACTAAAAGAGACCATTAACTCTGAATAACTGTTCTAAGCACAAATATTTAAGGCATAAAAGTTTGCTTTTCCATTTCCTTACCACACAGACATCTGCCTGTTTACAAGAACACGTAGGGCTAATTAACAGCTCAAGCTGGGACCGAAGTTTCTCATCGTCACCCAGAACCTGATTGAATTTCTTCACAAAATCTTGCGCTTTGCCAGGATCTGGAAGGTTTTCTGTATGATTAAACACAATTTAACGTAAGATAAATTTGCCACTTCAGGATGCCAAGATCCACAGAAGTAAATTTCCAGGAATGCTGCATTAACAGTTCATAGAACTTATTAACACTTACTTGCTATGGTCATCAGCTTTCCAAACATGGCAGCACTGTTTGCTTCTGACTGAGGACAAGAGCAGAAACAAACAAATCAGCGTTACCTCCTTTATAAAATATACCTTTAAGCTGATCTGTTAGTTCTTCTGCAGCACTTCATTCTACTCTGGAATCTTATGTTTTATGTTTTTGTTTTAAGAATAAACACTAGAATAGTGTATCAGTATCATTAGAAGCTACTACACACAGAAAAGGGGGAAAAAATCTTGCAACATCGAAGAACTGCAAAAATTCACTAATTCACACAAAAGATCAAAATCAATTGTTGGGAAAAGACCTCAAAAAACCCCCAAACCATTCCCCCAAGCCCACCCCCACACCAAAACCCCAAAGCAATGCCCTTCTATTTAAAGTTTCTGCTACTTTTAAGATACACTTATAAGTAACATTCCAGTATACTTCAAAACTTTTGTTTTCAAACAAACAAATCATTGCTTTATGTTACAACATTCCATTCTCAAAGTATGTTATAAAATGAGAAACAAAAAAAGTACATCAAAAGCAAACAAAGAACTTGGAAAATTTTTTAAACTTTTTAAAGTTATTGATGAGTAATATAAAAGAATGATGAGTAATATAAAATAATGGTAAACATAAGGAGCCCATAAACCTTTAAGCATTACTGAAAGTAATTTTACTTAATGAGAATGGAACATTGTCTCTATATGAAAATGAACAGAATAATAAAGTCACACTGAACAAATAATACAGTATTAAAACCCCCCAGTAAATTAGTCTAACAGGTCCACTGGATAATGTATTAATACTTTCAAAACCGTACAGTGGGCTGCTTATGCAAGTCTAGTAATTCTCGTACGTGACTTCTTAGCATGTTCTGGCACTTCCACATCTCATTCAGTGCTCTGGAAAAGTGCAAAACCAGAAAAGCAAAGCTCACCAATTTGTTCATGACAAGAACATGCTGGATGTATTAATAAACAAGATTGATTGGTTATTTATTGATCTTGAAAAGTGCAACATCTGCTAGGTACGATCGAAAAATACCAAGTATTAAAGATAACCATTACAAGCAAGGTGGAACTGATTTTCTCCTTTTACAGAACATCATCTCTCTTATTATTCCACTTGGAACAATTTCACATACGCAGGACAGCCACAGTATGGCTTACAACCACCCAGATTATCTTGAAAATAACATTTTCAACATAAAGAACAGGCCGCTACCAACTGGAATTCAGTTATAGATATCTTCATCATGGACCCTAATATAGAGCAAATCTAGAAGACATTACTTGCACATTTTTAACTCTGTATTATTTTCACTGAACGAAAACAAATGGGTAAAACCACTCTTCTCAAATAGCAAGGCATCTTTTTGTCTAAAGGACACGTAGAGTTTGCATATAAAAGGGAAATGTTTTGAAATGCTACCTGCAAATAATTCTAAGCATCAATTACTTATATTTTTATTTAAATCCTGATAATACAAGTAAGATTATGTAGAAGTTGGAGAAGCCTGAGAAAGCAAGCATTTGATGAATACAAACTATACTCACTTGACAGCATTCGGATCCAAGCTAGCATACAAATAGTACAAGCACT